GTATGTGTATCCATGGTAACTTCAAGAAAAGGTATGGGCATATAATCCCTCTTAAGTAATACAATTTTATGTTTCTGTTAGAAGACAAAGAAAGGTAAGATATTTATAGTCTTATTAAAACAGCTTGCGTATGTTGTAGGATACAAGCACACATTTTTTAGCAGCAAAATTGAGATTGTTTTTGTAAATCTTTAATATGTGGCAATAATTCAGGAATATGGGTAAAAATGCATACATGGGCTCCTGGTGCTATTGCTGTTGGACACTTGCAGGAAAACTAACCTGAAAAATAGCAACATAAATTTAATCTCTCTTCCCTTATTTTCATAATGTAGCAGAGTAGTCCTGGCTAATTTTGTCAGTCATGTTGCTTACCATATACAGAGCACAATTACGCCCTCAGGGACATAGACTCAGCTCCTGTTGATGAGAGGTGGGCCCGCTCCCATTTGATTCATAGATTCATAGTTTCATAGAATAAGGGTCGGAAGGGACCTAGTAGATCTTCTAGCCCGACCCCCTGCCAGGGCGGGAGAACAACAAAAAACCCCAAAAAGAGAAACGGGACTCAAATGAGTCCAGCCAGGTAGGCATCCAGCCTCTTCTTAAAGACCCCCAGGGTAGGGGCCAGCACCACTTCCCTTGGAAGTTGGTTCCAGCTCCTAGCCGCCCTAACTGTGAAGTAGTTCTTGCGGATGTCCAATCTATACCTCCTCTCCATCAACTTGTGCCCATTACTCCTTGTTATGCCAGCGGGCGCTAGGGGAAACAGCGTCTCCCCCAAACCCTTCTGGTCCCCCCTAGTGAGTTTATAGACGGTCACCAGGTCCCCCCTCAGCCTTCTCTTGTGGAAGCTGAACAGGTTCAGGTCCCGCAGTCTCTCACTGTAGGGTCTGCCCTGTTGTCCCCGGATCATGCGGGTGGCCCTCCTCTGGACCCTCTCCATGTTGTCCACATCCCTCTTGAAATGGGGCGCACAGAACTGGACACAATACTCCAGCTGTGGCCTGACCAGCGTCGCGTAGAGGGGGAGGATCACCTCCTTGGCTCTACTCGAGATGCACCTGTGGATGCACGACAAGGTCCGGTTAGCCCTGCCAACCATGACCTCGCATTGTCGGCCCATGTTCATCTTGGAGTCAATAATGACTCCAAGATCTCTTTCTGCCTCCGTGCTCTCAAGTAGGGAGTTCCCCATTGTGTAAGTGTGCTGCTGGTTCCTACTGCCCAAGTGCAGCACCCTGCACTTGTCCGTATTGAAACGCATCCTGTTCCTGTTAGCCCACCCCTGTAACCTATCCAGATCCCTCTGCAATCTCTCACTCCCTGCTAGCGTGCTCACCTCCCCCCAAATTTTGGTGTCATCAGCGAATTTAAACAGGTTACTTTCCACCGCATCATCCAGATCGCTGATGAAGAAATTGAACAGCGCAGGCCCCAGGACCGAGCCCTGGGGGACTCCGCTAACCACCTCCCCCCAGGTCGAATATGACCCATCCATTTTGAGAGCTGGGCTCTCAAAAGGGCGAACAGTTCCATTTTACAGGGACTAACTGCCATGTTACAGTTAATGTGTGCAGACAGAAGTTACCTTTGTTGTGCAATTTGCCCCCTGAAAATGCTCTACAGCCATGCGAGACACACCTGGGCGGCTGCAGAGCGCTTTAAAAGTGGCTGATCATGTGACAAATTAACTCTCCTCTAATGAGGTATAAGATAAAGTCGCTCCAAAGTGGAGTACCTTAGGGAACTTGTGTTCCTTAGGCTTAATCTTCCCTTCCTTCCCTTTGCTTGAAGAGACATTGGTTAAAACAATATTTTTATGCAAAAGAGGGATGGAAAAATCCATAACAAAATACTATGTAAAGGCAGAAGGATTTCTAAATGCAAGATTATTTTTTGAAAGTTTTCCATGTGGTTTCAGATTTTCTTTGATTGGACATAAAAACCAAAGAAGGAATGGAAGCATAGGCTGTTATCTCACAGAAATTTCTTCCTCAGCTACTGACCCACAGAAACTTGCTATGTGTGGTTTTCCAGCCACGAACAGTAATTCACTGAGTGGACATCTACCTCTCTCTGCCACTAGGGTATACTGAATTAGGTGTTTTGGGATACACCTACAAGATGATAGAGAGTCATTTTGCCTAGCCTGATTGGCATCCAGAGAAATGAGCCCAAGACTCTAAGTCAGTAGACTCTCTTGACAACTTAATGCTGGATGAAGTTTCCTATGTTTTCTTCAGCTACAGAGAAAGCCGTTAAGGCATCATTATTTGAAGAAGTTCTGTTTTTGTTTGGGTGATGCTTTCACTACACAGCAATGCTAATGGCAGTCCTAAAGGGACCGTAAGCCCTGAAGAATTTAACTCTTCTGTCTGTGTCCTTCATAGCACATGTTGGCTCAAGGCAGAAACTTAAGGATGCCTAGTAATTACTAGGCATGCTCTGCAAAGTAGAGTGTTGGGGAGATGGAAAACAATGGAAAGGAATCAATGGCATAACAAGCAGAGCTGGCACCTTGGGCAAACCCTGCAGGAGAGTTGGGGGCACATGCAGTTTTGAGATTGCCAGGGTTGGGGGCAACAGTCTTACCCATGCTGGGAACTTCTAAGCAGTCCCTGGCTGAGCTACATCTGCTGCTGCCACATGCTTTCCTTGCTCCCACTGTTGCTATTAAAGCAGCAGCAAGGAATTGTTTCGGAGTTCCCAGCATGGGTATGCAGCTGGAGCATGCACCCCTGGGGCTGGGGGGGCAAAACTGGCCTCTCTCCAACTTGGCACTGAGTGCAGATACCCCTCTCACCCACCCCTAGTTATGCTACTGGAAGAGATCCACTTACAACTCTCTCTAGCACACGAGGAATCTCCTTACAACTCTCTCCAACAACCAACTCATTTAATATATTCCCCCCCAAAACTGTCTCAGTTCTGCTCTGACTCTCACAATGGCCAGAGAGCAGAGCAGTTGATCTAGGGCTGGATTATTTACCTTTCCCTGCAGATTTGCAGGAAAAGTGCTTGATAGTCCCAAGAAATGGAAATCGTGAAGCACAGGGAGCAGAGTGATGTGATTTGCACAAGTTGTTCTCCTCCTAGTTATAGCAAAAGAGAGAAGCAAGCGATTTTCTTGTAGCAACCTCCCAAACCATTATAAAGATGCACACTGCACTCTGCATCTACATTCGAGACTTGCAGTCATGGTACTAGGGTTGTATAGCTGGTTGGGGGGATGTCTTGGCTTTAGTGTTAGTCTTGAGGCCCATTTTTCCTTGGAATGAGATAGTCTGCCATGTAGCTTGAAAAACTGAAAGTGCTGGATCCAGCCCTAATTGCTTTGTTTTATTTTAAAGTAACCGCTAGAAATGTAACAGTATGGTTTGGCATTTGAAGGTTTAACTCAGTAACTGTGAAGGTAACATACACTGACAACAACAAAAAAACATGGCTAAAATCTTGACTTAATGGCATCCTTTAATGAAAATCCCAGTCTAAAAGAGGTTTAAATTGAAGCTTTCCCATAGGTGTCCTCTGTTCTCACGTGGAAGTTACCTCTGAGATGCTTGCCATCGATGGCAAGCCTACCTGTGAAGGAAGAGAGTTGTGTGATGCATTTGTCATTCCCAAATGGACTTCATGATAAACTGAAAAAAATGTTCACATGTGTTAACTTTTCTACCGTCCACATGGTAGAATCTATATTCCTGGACAGCAGCCAAAGGTGCTACAACAGGGTGGAGGAAAGCACCTTGGAACTAAAGTGCATGGGCGTGCACATAGCACGCTAGAGTCCAGTGATTTTCCTTAAATCTATGTAGATAGATCTTTTTTCCTAGTGTGCCCCCTTCTGTGGATTTTCTGTAGGAGAGACAGCTTGTCCTTTGTTTAGGAGCACCTTTAAGTCAAAGCTTGCTGTCTTCCAGCTCTTCCTGGAACGTAGATGCAGCGTGCAACATGCGTCTTTATAGTGGATGGGGAGGTTACGACCATAAAATTGCTTACTTCTTTCTCTTGCTATAACATTACATTTGTGATCAGTGAAAATGCTTGGGTAGAAAATCCCAGAATCTAAATAGGAGGGACTCTTCACAAGACATTCTCCATGTTATATTCTTGACTCTTGAACGCCCTTTCTTGATCATCCACATGAGGTTTTGTTAACCTTTCCAAATGCCCATAGGGAAAAGAATTAAAATGCATCACAGTATATCTGTTCACAAAAAAAAAAAATACTTCTAGTGATGTGAATATATCTACTTTACTACAAAACACATTTGACTCTACTAAAAAGATTTTACCTACCATTTTTACTCTGAAGAGCAGAGAGCTAAAAAAAAAAATCTCAGTTTCCAAAACCCACTATTTCCAAATAAACCACAATGTTACAGAGCCCTTTCATTATACAGTGTACGGGACTGTAGAATGCAAACACATACACTGTACTGTTTAAAATTAATTCATATTTCCAGGAGACATGATCTGGGTGAGTGAGTGTGTGTGACTTCCTATTTTTACTTTCTTTCTCTTGACTTTTTAGCTGCTTCTACCTTCTTATTTGAAAATGCACATGTGCTGTTTAACAGTGAGAGATCTCTGTAAATGTTTGGAGGCAGCATCTGTCAGACAATAAAACTTACAAGAAAACATGCTTCTCATTCAAAGCAGATCCACCAAAGCTACTTCAGCGTTGGAGCCCATTTATTTGTGTTGCTTAAAGGCATTAATAAGACCAAAGTACAGTTACCAGAAAACTTGGTAATAATCTAAGGTACTTTTAAAAAGCATGTTTTGCCTACTTGGCACCACAGTTTCCTAAAAAGAGCCTGAACCCACTGGCATACAGAGACTCGGATAGTGCATCCAAAAAACTGTAAGCAAGAGTATGACATGCATTTTTTTTAAATTGGAAAGTCTAAATGTTATAATAATTGTTGGACCAAAGGGACCCTCTTCAGGCATAAATAGCAAGACTCCTACTGTCCTCTTGCAGAACAGCTCAGCTGCCAGCAAAAGCAGGTGCTCTTACCCTATCAGTGCTCCAGAGGAAATATTTAGTGAGTATTCACAACTCTTTTAATAAATGAATGTATTATACAGCTATTAGTGTTTCAAATATGTTCACAAATTTTTCTCAAAGGACAAAAGCATATAAAAGCAAGTTTTAGAAGTTATTATTTTAAGCAACTGCTTGAGTTTAACAGTCTGATGCAAGAGTATTTGTAATGACTATGTTAATTTTCAAATGTTTTTTGTACAAAATGTGACAGCAAAGCAATTAATTAAGTTTGAAAAGTATTTGACTTTAAATGTTGTGCCATGAAGCAGAATTTTTAGAACACAAATTTAAAATAAATCATGTCTCTTGGCAAAGTCACATGCAATTTAATCTTTAAAAGAATAAATATGCCATTAATGTTTTCCACAGAAACATTTGCTAGTCTAATTAATTCAAGATGTGATTCTAATAAGATTTTAAAAGAAAATAAGAAACAGATTTCTTCAAATGTATTACCGTGAGCAAGTTCGACTTATTTTTATTTTTTCCCATTAGAAACACTTGTCGGAGGTAGAATTACAGAATTGTAGCATATTGTATGGAAACTTCAAATCTGGAAGTTTTATAATAATGTTCTTGGGAGCAATAAGGTTTTTTTTATGTTTTAGATGTGTATTTTGTTTTTTTTGCTCAAAACCTATCCTGTCTTAAATTTCATTGGTTATAGTTACTCGGTTTTGAATCTATAGTGACTAATAAGGCTAACATACTTTTTCTTTCCATGTATAAGGAAATGGAAAAGCTGATGCTTGTCTACAGCTCCTGTAAAGTTATCTGGACACTGCTTTTAACAATTCTGGGCTGTGCCAGCTGTCTGCCTGTGGGTGATGAGTCTATTTGCACAGCAGAGGAGCTTGCTAAATACAGCATAGTCTTTACAGGGAAATGGAGTCAGACTGCTTTCCCTAAGCAGTATCCCCTGTATAGGCCTCCAGCCCAGTGGTCATCCGTGCTAGGTAAGTAAAAATAGACATTGAATTTTTGTTCATATTTTCCTTTAATAAAGGATAAGTAAGAACTAAAGCCGCTTTAGAAATAAAACATAATTTACAGGACTTGCCGTATCCAGAACGCTTACAAAAATCTCCAGCTGTTTCCAGTTCACTTCTGTTTCCAATTGGCTACAGCCGAAGTAAACAGTAATAGGTTAAATATTTTAGCATATTCTGAATGTTGCTACGCATATTGTTCCACCTCAGAATAAAAACAGAAAAACTGCAGGAATTAAGACAATCCAAAACAGACTTTTACAGTGCACAATGTATTCCCTTCATTAGGTGTCACCCATAGTTCTGACTACAACATGTGGAAAAGGAATGAATATGCCAGCAATGGCGTACGTGATTTTGCTGAAAAAGGTGAAGCATGGGTTTTAATGAAGGAAATAGAGGAAGCTGGGGAAAGAATCCAAAGTGTACATGGGATCTTCTCAGCTCCTGCTGTTTCTACTGGTACAGGAGAAACATCTACTGAATTAGAAGTTCATTCAAGGCATCAGTTAGTAAGTGTTTTACATTTTCATTTTAAGGGGCTCTGACTGGTTTATTTTCTACCAGTGGAGGACAAAATGCCAAATACACTAGAAAGCCAAAGACTTGCTAATAGAATCCAACAGTTTAAGGAACTCTAAGCAAATTCAATACTAAAAAAGCTCAGTGGCATATTTCCTTTTAGAAATGCTAAAAAAAAAAAGGATGATCCTAAACACTGTCACATAAGGGGTCAGTCCTGAGACTCCAAGGCTTGACAACACGAGGGCACAACGTGCTTTGTCAGATTTTTTTTTAATTAAGTTTTTATTTTAATCTATAGGTTTCATTTGTTGTACGAATTGTGCCAAGCCCTGATTGGTTTGTGGGGATAGACAGTCTAAATCTCTGTGAAGGAAATCGCTGGAAAGAAGAAGTATCAGTAGATCTTTTTCCATATGATGCTGGAACCGACAGTGGCTTCACATTTTCCTCGCCAAATTTTGCCACTATTCCCCAGGACACCATTACAGAGGTAAGTTCAAATCTGTTGCTTCTGTATGCTGAATTATGTCCTACCAGAATGATATATGATTTCTTTCCTTAAAATAAAACTTGTTTTGGAATTGCAGGATAAACATTTCTTCTTGAATTAATTATTTCAGCATTTGGGAATTCTGGGGCTGTATCTGGACTTGTGACACAGCTAGCAACTCCATGGTGATATCACTTAGCATTTGCTCTGCAAAGCCATTTCATTAAATGAATTTTGGTATCTGGGATCATAATACATTTGTACACTTGTTTTTAAATAATTGCTGTAGACCAAATAAATGCTTAATGGTGTTGAGGTGAGCTTGTTGTTGTGATGGTCTAGGAAATATGAGAGGCAAAAATTCTTGTGGGTGATCCCTTATACTGGATGAACTGCATAGTCCAATAAATAATATTTAATTGGTTTTTATGCTTTAATAAAAAGCTAGTTACATTTTAAAATACAATAAAGCTGGGAAGACCTGGTGTACTCATTGTGCTAGATACTTAATCTGTGGTAGGGAATCTCAGTTTGGGAAAGGAAGGACAGCTTTGCTCAAACATTTTTCTGATGCTACTGCCCTCTTCTTTTTTCACTTCTTAGCCTACTCTACACACCATCTACTTCATAGTACTCTCTTTCAGGAAGCATTTTAATGGTAGGGTGGAACAGTAGCTCAACTGCACACTGTAAAATGGTCAGCACCCAGACAACAACTTCACAGTCCTGGATCAAAATGTAGTATTAATGGCAGCGGGCAAGTGGGTACAGAACCGGAAATGCAGCTCTTCAGGCTTCCTGTATACAAGTTCCATGTCAGGCATAGCACCACCCACTATTTCCAGCTGATAGTCTTGCACTCCCCTGGTCTCTTCCTTCAACCTCTGCCTCCCCCCTTTTTACCCACAAGTGCCAATGTTTTTGGGGTAATGCTAATCCTTCAGTCCTTTCCACAAGGGACTACGGCAGGGGTTGGCATTGTTTTTGTGCAGTGCCAAAAACACCCACAGCCTCCACTTGTAAGATGTTGGCATGCCAGGGGCGGATGGCTGGGGAACCGCAAGGGCCTTGATCCTTGTGCCAGTGCAGCCCACGCCCCCTTCCTTGCCGGCTGCTCCGAGGTGCACGTGTCAAGCAAAATGCTTTCATGTGCCATCCTCTGGCACCCATGCTGGGGGTTGCCTACCCCAGGACTAGGAGATTATGTTAATGGTAAGAAATCAGCTCTTTTGTGAGTTTAGAGTACATAAGGGCTGAATACCCCAGAATGAATGTTATTTGCCAAGAAGTATTAATAAAACATGACAATTAGTTTTAAAATTCTCTTCTTACTAATAACATGGTAACACTATTTCTCTAAACTTCCTTTTTTTTTTAATTTCATAGATCACTTGTTCCTCTCCAAGTCATCCAGCGAACTCGTTTTATTATCCCAAGTTAAAAAATTTGCCACCGATTGCTCGTGTAACCCTGGTGAAGTTTAAGAAAAATCAACGGGGTGTTCCTGCTTCTAAACTGAATAGAAAAGGCAATGAAATAGATGATTCAGTCTCAGGTAAGTGGATAGTATTTGGATCAGTTAGATGCTTTTGTCCCCAGTCACTATGAAGCAAGGAAAGGAACAAACCTTCAGAAAATGCATGCAACTTGGAAGCCCGTTTGGAAGAGAAACACAACTTAGCAGACTATTCTGTCTCATAGTGGCAACTCTTTCTCTGACATATATGCTGTACACAAAAGGATTGTGACATGGAAACAGGGGTTGAAACCAAAGAAGAGAAATTCCATACATTTCTCTGTAATCCTTTTCTGTGTGACAGCATTTACTGTTCCTACGAATTCTGGGTCTGACAGATATAAATCAGCAATAATTCCTCTGAAGTAAATAGCAATGCACCAGCATAACTTTAGAGTAAGCACCATAAGAACTGGGCCATTTATGACAGGAAACAGAGACTACATCTGAGAATGAGAAAGAAGTTACTACCAGAGGAGGGTGCCTGAAAAAAGTGGAGGAAGAGACTATTCATGTCCACAGGTTTGAATTAGGTCCATAGCACGGCTGATTCAAACTAGAAAATGTATACAGAGCTGCCAGGCATATGTTGAAGAAGGGATACTCTGTCAGAATTGCAACTCCCCAAATCCTGTGCAGATTTTAAAACACATGCTCCTTAGTTTTTACATGAGAATGGCACAAAGGAACTGTCATGCCTGTTTTCATCTTGTTAAGAAACCATATTGGTAATGATGTGAAATAAAAGACAAAGTTCATCTAACTGACTGGGACATAATTATGATGGCAGCTGACATCTACAGAACAAGATACTTGATAAAAAATGTCAGACTTTTACTGAAATGCCCAAATGGAGCCAAGTTTTAATTCCAAACAAACTTGTCCCACCCCAGGGCTGACTGTCAGTAAGAGCTTGTGCTAATGTAAAAAAAAGTTTAGATCACGGTATCAAGTCTGTTCTATAGATAAATTTCAAGGCTCAAAATCGCCCTCTGAACAGGAGAAAATGGGCAGATGGCAAAGTACTCGTGCCAGTATACTGTACACACCCGTGTGGTGACTTTCTGAAAGGATCACAAGGAGGGACAGTTATGAGTAAGAGAAGGACTTCAGGGCATAAAACTGAATGGGGAAGAACAGTGGGCTGCGTCCTTTAGCTTCCACGTAGCAGCAGCCATGTTTTAAGCAAGTCATTTTTTTCAGACTCAAATTAAGTATTTCATTCCCCCAGCTCTGTGCTAGGAGCTTAGACTATGATGTGAGCTATTCAAAAAGTCACCCTCTTCACAGTTAAGTAACGATGGCAAATACGTATGAATAGATTTCTACTTGAGTTAGAGTATTTTGTTAAATGTATTATGATTAGTAAACAAGAGCTGATCATGCGCCTTTGTACCGGAGTGGCACAAACATTTGGAGCTGTTGGTTGTAGCCATGTTGGTCTAAGGACACAGGCAGACAGGGTTCTTTGGGTAGATGTGATATCTTTTTTTATTAGACCAACTAAATAGTTGGAAAAATTGTTCTTTGCAAGCTTTCTGGCACAAACACCCTTCTTCAGGTGTAGATTCTCCCTATGCCTGAAGATGGTCGTTTGTGCCCAAAAGAACAATTTTTTTTCAGTTGTTTAGTTGGTCTAATAAAAGATATCACATCTATCCAAAGAAGCTTGTCTACAAACATTTGGAGTAATCCCCATTTCCTGTAACATTTGAGAGAGAATTACTTATTTTGTCCTCAACTCAGGAAAGGTGCTTTCATGATTAGGGATAGGCTTAAAGAACATGCTTAAAAGCTTTCTGAATTGGGGCCTTTTTATGTGTCTTTGGGAGAAATGCATGATGTATGGTACCTTTGCTCTTGTGGCTCAACTCTCTACCCTAAAATATATTGGTTGGTTCTATCCCAAGTAGGAAGCCATCTACTAAGGGATTCTTAAAAAAATGTTTATTTAATATAATTTCTCTCAAAAATATGAAACAATAGCTAGACTAACATTCTAAATTAACCTTCTGAATTAACATGCTTAACCAGCCCACCAAGTATTCCAGAACTGGGCGTCTGTTTTGGATGCTTTAAATCAGGGGTGGTTAACCTGCGTCGTCATGACACAAGTAGCAAGGGCAGCCTCTCTGTGTGGCACATGACAGATCAGAGGGGAGACAGGCAGTGCAGTGGCAGAAAGCAAAGCAACAAATCTGGTAGGGAGCACAGAGCTGGGAGCAGAAAGCAGAGCAGCAGACTGGGCATGAAAGGGGGATCAAACTGGCACTTGGAGAGGGTGCAGGGCTAATTTGTGGTGTGCCTTCCAGAAAGGTTGGCCCCCACTTTTTAAAATAGTACCAGACTTCACCTAGTTATACAATAAATTTGCAATACACATAACGCAGAAGGAAGGGGAGGGTTGCTCCTTAGAGACTTTGCAAGTCCATTCATGGCATCTGATGAGGAAGGTCATGTCTTTCTGAACCAACTGGTTTTGAAGGTATCACCCCGCTCTACCTTTTGCCTGATTTCAGACTAACATAGCTAACTACCTCTCAATGCATGTAATGAGATAGTTAATGTTTTGCCAAAATGCATGCATATAGTTTGTTTGTTTTTATTAAAATTAATGTGTTGAGCCTCCTAAAATGTGAACAGGACCAGAGACAATGTAAAATTAGAGCAGCACAGATTCCATTTAAGTAATCCTTTGTACGCACAATGTTTATTGGATGTTACTAGTCAGACGTTCTCAGTTTATCAACCACTAACTTCTCCAATGTAAGAAACTGATTCCAGGTATAAAAGGAAAGATTTAATTGCCACAAGTGAAATCATGCCCTCATCCTCTTCAGGACTATGGAGATCCATGACTAGAGTAGACCACGGTGCACTGCCACCGTGAGGGGGAGCTTTAGAAAAGCAGCATTTTATTCAAGACATCCACACAGTCATCACACCATAAAGCTGTTCAACTGCCCAGGAATTCCCTCTACCAGCCATTTCTCCCCTGACATCCCACAGAAGTCTTCAGTACACAGTACAATTCTGTAGGCAGTTTGCTTAGGCAAAGCTACGTTTTCATCCACTGTCAGGGAATGAGTTATTGCATTTTTCTTTGAAGTATTTGTAATGTAGTTATAAGTTATCAAAATTATTTTACAGAGTTTCTTATTCATTTGGTTCCAGTTAATTGAAAAGCTTTTAGTCTTAAAAGCTTTTAGTTATAAAGTATATTATATTAGCAAAGGGAAGTGTTTGTATATGCAAGACTCTTTACCCTTTCCTTGTAAAAAATAAGTTCAGGAAGATTTAGCCAAAATAAAATTTTCTTTATTCATGAAGAAGAATGGAAAAGCAGTTCAATAGAAATTGATATGAAAACTATAGGAAGAGTATTCAGGCAAAGAACGGTGCCAAATAGTATAAATGAACTAGATAGGATCCTTAATCCTGGTAAGCCAAGGAAAGGCAAATAAGTTGTGAACATGGCAGTAAAATGCCCTCTGTCTTCAGAGTATGCTCATTTTAAGCAGAGTATTCTAAGGCAGGAATATTTAAAATTTTCAATTAAATACGTATAATACTATATCCAGTGCAGTACCTCAAACAACCTCTAGACTGGAATAATCATATCTGCATATTCAGGAGCCGAAACAGATGCTTTTTATTTACTAGACAACATATGGCTTTTATTAAAGGGATGTAAAATTCAAATCATTTTAGTTCTGTATATGTAAGTAGTTCATTTTTAATAACATCTGCAATATAACCGATAGTAAGTTTTTAATGTATCAGAACAAACCCCAGCCTTATTTTTGTATAAGAAAGGAAAATTTGAGAATAATTTCATGTTTGGCAGCTGTTTGTCTTAAGCACATAATTTATGAACTCATATCTTTATTGGTTATGTTCCAGAAACACCACTGGATTGTGAGGTTTCTCTGTGGTCTTCCTGGGGTCTTTGCAGAGGTCGTTGTGGAAAGCCAGGGACGAAAATCAGAACTCGTTTCGTACTACTTCAGCCAGCCAATAACGGAAGTCCCTGTCCAAACTTGGATGAAGCAGCAGAATGTGAACCAGAAAATTGTGTCTGAAATCTCCTTTCCAATGGAATTTAAAAAACCAAACAGATAATACTTTAGATAATTTAAATGTAGGATAGATTTAGCTGAATGTATGCTACATCTCAGTGAATATTCCTCATAATTCAGGTATGTTCTACTATTTTACTGAAAGGGTTTATTAGACTGGATGATGTATTCTTTTGTTTGAAATTAAGACTTTTTTTAGATTCCTACATTTTAGTATATCAACTGTACTCTATCATTTACAGGCCAAAAAAAGAAAAAAAAATCCTTCCTATAAATACTGTGTGAGTTCTTGCAGTACCCTCTAGTGGCGGAAAGGAAGATTTTTGAACATATTATATGAAGTTATGTCAAAAAAATCTTTTGAAAACAAAATGTAAAATAATGCAATCTCTCTTTTAAATATTAGGATTTTTAATTGTTTATTTATACCTATAATGCTAATTATGTTGCTTTAAATTATGTTTTATTATAATTTATTGGCATTTATGTTGACTACTTTGTAATCATGTTTATTTTAGCACACTCCTTCAGAAAACTCTTGCATAAATCAGAGTAACCAGATGATGTAGTATGGTTTGGGCAATTGTGTCATCTTATACATGGATAGCAGAAAGTTTTGTTTTGGGGGGGTGTTTTTGTTTGTTTCATTGTTTTTGATGCCTAAAAAACCATTCAGCCCTAAAAGCTTAATTGTGAATACTGATGGAGAACCTGTTACAAACCTTAGGGAGGGGAAATGGACATTATAGATGTGTTTTTTAAATTAAGTAAAATTGTATTATGCCTGACATTGCAAAACATAATATTCCAGGAACTGTTCTAGACAGCAAGTTTAATTATTCAGATACCTAAATGGTTGTAAAAAAAAAACTAGACAGAACTGCTCTATGTTTTATAGTGTTTGTTTATAAAATTGGAAAAGCATTTTGAACTATAAAAGTTCAGAAGATAACTTTTCTGTGAGTTGTGTGTTTTCACATCCACTATACAGCACACTCTAGGTGCAGGTAACAAAGAAATAGTCTTGGGTAGGGTGCATTTCTTTTGAAACATGACAGCTATAAAAACCATTATTGTGCACCAAGGGAGGGCTCATGGCTTTCTTTTTATCAGTAGAAACTTTTAAGTTTTATACTTTTATAAGACTCAGAAGGATCCTGGTAAGTCCTGAAAATAGGATAAATATATAAAACAAATTCTAAGCATTTTTCTAGCCGTCTCATATCCTTCAGACTCTAACATGCCTCCTTACTGCTCTCTTTCAATTTCACTTATTGTCACATCTATTTTTCCAAGCTCCTTGTGTCCATATTTTTATTATTTCACTTTCTCTTACACATACTTATTTTAGAAAAAATAATCTTGTGTATTAGCTTTTTCCATGCTCCTGGTTTAGTTCATCTGCCCTCCTTTCCCATTCTTTTTATAATCTATTTATAGTAGCTTTTCCTTATTTTCTGTTTTCTTTTCCATTTGATCCAGTTATGTAGGTATTTTACAATATCACTTCCATTACTATGGCATCAAAAAATTTTGAACATTTATTGAAGCAACTACATGAAGTATACTTTTTGATTCTCTGTATCCCAATTCTTTCCATTTTCTACTCCCTTAATTTTCATTTCCTGTTACCCCATTTCACTGAGCCATCCTGCTCCGAGAAATTGCTGTATTACTGCAAGGGCAGTTTTAGCTTCCAGTATCACCCCCTAATGCTGGCCAGGACTGGGTCTAGAATTTTGACTCCTCCACAGGTCAAAGGCTAGACCCAATAAAAGAGCTAGGTACCTAGATGGAACTGAGATGGAAGTGCAAACTATGACCTGATCTGGTTAATCCTGCTTGATTGTAACTCCACTTAACTCTAGCGTTCTGTTTCTGTGCGTGACCAGAACTACCTTCAGACAATATCCAAAGAAAGGACTTAGGTACCTAAAAGATAGATGATGTAATGACTAGTTTTTTAGGGGTCAGGTCTTTGGAGAGATATCAGAACACTGCATTAAGCATCTAATATCCCTATACAATGTATGGGTTCCTTAAAATGGTATCCAGACATCTTGCATCCTAAGGGGGAAGCCACTCAGAGCTAACCAACAGGTGATGTTTCAGACAGGGATGTGTCTGAAATCTGTCCCTTTCTGGAGTTAGGCACCTAATACAGAGCTTAGATTGGCGCTGCTGTTCATTCTGGAACGTATCAAGCCCGGGCAAACCTGAGGCTGGATAGATTTAAAGACCTGAACTAGATCATTTAAAACAGTGGAGGGCAACTTTTTTGGCCACTCTGATCTTCTTCCCTGGCCCAATCAGCTATTCTGCTTTCTGCCCTATGCATATGACATGCCACACACTATACACAGAGGTTGCCTGTGCCACTTATAGCACGCATGCTGCCAGTTGGTCTCCCGTGTTTTAAAGCATTGGAAATAATGGTGTTTCATCCAGAAAACAGGAGATCAGGATTAAATTCTGTCCTCAGTATGAGGAGGGTTAAAACATATATCTCCCACCAATCTGAAAACGGTGTTAAGCAGCAGGTTATAGACATTTTTTCACTTAGGTATTCTCCACAATGCTGTTTAAGCTGTATCACTGCATATAAAAGCATGCAAGATTCAATAAGCCAGAGTGAAGAAGCAAGATGGAGTATGACTACATTGTTGCTGAGTGTTAAGGAATTTTACCTGAGTGGAAGGAAGTCTTCGGTTCTGTTCCCAAGACTAGGTTTATGTTTTTCACATTATATAGCCCATTGTTGTCTACTGGTTGAGATGCTTCATTGGGTGGTGAAGGATATTGGTTTAAACACCCCAGGCCGAGAGGAGAATTGAATCTAGGTCTCTTGTTTCTTGAACAGGAGGCACCATTTTCTGATCATTTCCTATTGGCTAGCTCTCAGACTGCCTGCTCAGCATGCTGAGTCTTCAATACCTTGGACCATAGGTATCAAAAAGACTGACTAAAGTTCTGGAATGAAGACTTTGGTTGAAAACTTTGGTTCTCTGGCACAACTAGACTTCATACACGAAAGATAAAGCTTATGTGCACAGAAAACAGAAGTTTCTTGATGGCTGGCCCAAGTCTGTGGAATGAACTTGTGTAAGAACTAAAGACTATCACAGACCTCACCGCTTCCCATTCTAAATACAAAGTGAATTCCTTTGACCTTGACTTCTTATATAAACTTATAGCAGTGTGTGTATATATACACATTTTAAAATTCAAAACTGAGCACTCTGCTATATACATGTCTCCTTCTTGGGAAAGGAGTAGAAAAGAGACATGAAATAGATGTTTGAGGTGTTGCTTATTGCATTACAGGCAAGCAAGCACAAAGATGCTATAGTTATGAGCACAGGATAAGAATCTATAGAAATGAATTGACAAGACAATTGGCCCTCAAAACAAAGAACTTTCCTTTATGCTGGACATGAAGACACTGAACAAGCAGAAGATGCCTGGAACACTTAGGAATAGAAAAAGTCCAACATGTTTCCCAGCCTACCTAGAGAAGTCTTGCTGTCAGCTCATTTGTGAATAGTAAAGTCTACTCCACAATTCAATGGGAATCTTTCAGCTGATTTCATTGGGTGGTGGATGGGGCTCTGTGATATTTTCTTCATTCACTCATGTGGTAGCATACCAATAGTCTTAATTTCTCTGGAAAAATTAAATTCCTTGGAATTATTCTATATAGCAGATGGAAAGTCTTACTTTCCTGGAAAATAGGCATTTTTAGTCCCTTGAAGTAATGTTGATATCACACAAATACTGTGCAAAGATACGTGGGCTTGGAAGAAGCTAGTTCAGTTGCTGGAAGCTCTGCTACCATGTTGCTATCCCTGAGAAAATTAGCTGAGTTGAACAGCAGTGTACAGTAATCTAAAGGACCTAAATTGGCTCTCTCTGTATATAGCTTAATTGTAATTTTATATACCAGTAACACTGACTGGTGTGAACATTGCACACTACATTCTGGTCATGGTAGCATTCTTATTGGTGACTGAAGCATCTTTGCTAAATTGATTTTTAAAACCTCACACATTGGGGTTGTTCGGCTGCCCAGAGGGTTACCAAAATCACACAAGTAGCTTTCAAAAGTCACAAGGACATAGCAAAGCATACAAACTCAGAAAACATGTACTCCACAGTTGTTGGTCCTATTGTTGATCCGTAAGGCAAACAGATTTTTTCCTTCTAAATTCTAAATGTCTTGGTCCTTTTATTTATGTAGCAACATAAGCTCTGTTTATGTAACCCGGGTTTACCAGAGTGTGTACTCCCCTCTCCAATAGAAGGGGAGGTCAGCAGGGCATACATGCTGAAGATGGAAACTGCAGCTTGCTCATAGCTTCCCCTTACCAGTGTCTCTGTAGAGAAAGACCAGGTCACAATATCTTAACTATGTGCATGGTTTATTCAGGTGCAGAATAAAAGGGAAGGGAATAGAATAAACTGAATAGGTGATAAAGATAAATATTTACATATAATATATTCA